CGACTAATTTTGATACATTGAAAAATTACGTTGCAGCTGGTACTATGTAGAAGCAGCGCTTTGAATGAAAAACCTAATTCACACGTAAGTACATACCTTCGTTTGGTCCGTGTGGTGACAAATTAATTTGCCAAAACGCGTTAAAAAAGATCATGTGATTAATAAGTTTCAATATATTGAGCTAGTCAACCGACAAGTCCACCCGGATACGTTTTAGTTCTTCCTGTCTGCATCTCTTCCCTTCTCTTTTTTTCTCTCTCGTCCTCTTTTTGTTTCTCTCTAGCTCTCTAGCTTTCTCGCTCTTCCGCTTTCTCCCTTTTTGTCGTGCTCTTATGGTCATCTGTATTCACAATGTGTGTCTCATTAAGCTTTCTGGTTGAAAGCGATCACATCAACAAGGCTGACGCTAATAAGCTACCGTCTAAAGAACGGCCTCCTTGTTCTCCATAATTAATCCAACTCGTTTTCCTCGTATGTAATTTGCAACCCCTGATTTGCGTATTTCCCAAGAAGCAGTCTCACCTAGTTCCACCCTCAAATACCATTTTCAGAGACATACATGTAAGCTAGAAGACCTAAGAAGCTCCACACTTAGCGCAGAATCCCGACATAAGCATTTCACCGGCTACACGTGGGTTCCAACACTGCCCTCCCCCCCCCCCCCCCAACGCCCCTCACCTCGCTCCGCTCCCGGTACGCCCGAGGAGCGGAGGAACGTCGGTGGGGGGAGGGGGTGCGGGGGAAAGGGTTTCCACGTGCCACGACCATCGACGCAAAGCTTTGTCGCCGTTGTCGGTTGCCTTGACAACGTGATGCCGGACGCTGGCTACAAAGCGAGAGACAAAAAAGGGAAGCTGAACGAAACTTGAGATTGGCGAACTTTTGCTGAGCTGTCAGCAAAGGGTCAGGAGGGTTCTTTGTTTCTCGACTGCAAGACACGAGTCAAATAGACAAACGAATACGTAACTTAGCACTTGGTATGGATTGTAAAGCGAGCAACTTCTGCAAATGCAACATGTCTGTGTTATTGATGTTCGTGTGAATTAATCAAACTAATTGAAACTAGGAAAGTAATTATCCAAAGCCTTTGTTGTTACGTTTCGCTCGTTATATACAATAGGATAGAGCTTCACACCGACATAGCAACTAGTGCTGCTGCAAAATGATTGATGATAGTCTTTTTGTCACAAAAGGTTATAACGAGCTTGTTCGAATGAGCCAAACACATTTTTGGCGGCTCTTCGTGTTCAATACGGCACACCAAATAAAAACGTTTGATTCAATGTTTTTATCTTGTCTTTTGCTAATGTTGAACTTTCGTTTGCCCTGTCTAGGAGCTACTTAAGCCAAACCAACCTTCTAGCTTTGCTCTTGCGCTAAAATGGGATTTTTAGGCTCGCTGCAGGTGTGCTTGTTCACATATGACTAAAACGAATCAATTAAAAGGCACAACGGCCTTCGTTGAAAATGATTTAAGCATAGAATTGATTTAATTGAGACTATAGTTCGTTTTTTCTAAGTTCGACCCTCACTGTAAACGTCTCTTTGAACACAGCACGAGAATTGGTAGCTGAATTACTGAGAAAACTCGTTGGCGCACAATGATTTCGTAGACGATCAATTGTATCAAAATTATTTCTACCCGGCTCCTTTTTCCCAGACTCGCAGTTCGGTATTTGCGACCCCACAAGGATCGAGGACTTGTCAGGAAATATGACTGAACTAATAAATAAATCACACGGTGTTTAACGTAACAGTATATCATCGGCGTTAGAAACGTATTTTGAAAATATTTGTTCATATCTCCAATACAAAGTGCGCTAACGAGTTTTCTAAGTAATTCAGCTAGCAATTCTCGTGCTTTGTTCAAAAAGATGTTTACAGTGAGGGTCGAACTTAGAAAAAACGAACTATACCAGCGGATCTTATGCAACTGTCGCCAACGCACAAGGAAAGTTTTTTCTCAATTACCGGTCATGTGTTTGCATCGTTACCATAGAAACGAAACTTGTCGTTTTTACGGTTCTACCGGATGGACTTTGCTGCACTGAATGCCAAGCTGATTGCCCAGTGACCACCAAAGCGAGCGAAATATTCAAAGGAGAGAGAGAGAGAGAGAGAGAGAGAGAGAGAGAGAGAGAGAAAGAAAGAAAGAAAGAGAGAGAGAAAGAGAGAGAGAGAGAGGGGAAAGAGAGAGAAAGAGAGTGACAGAGAGAGAGAAAGGAAGAGAGAGAAAGAGAGTGACATAGAGAGAGAGAGAGAGAGAGAGAGAGAGAGAGAGAGAGAGAGAGAGAGAGAGAGAGAGAGAGAGAGAGAGAGAGAAGAGAATGAAAGAGACACAGAGACAGAGATAGAGAGAGAGGTGGAACGATAAAGTCTTTCTTGAGAAAAATATGAGTGAATGATTGCAAATGAACATCTTCAGATTCGCGTAGGGGAGAGTGGGGTAAGATGCCCAGGGTGGGAAAGACGCCCCACCCCCTCTAGCGGCGAAACAAAGAATCGAACCTGGAAATTAATGTTCTTAGCGTAAAGCGGAGGCCTGCCTTGTTAACTGCACAAAAAATCGCGAAGCTCAGTTGGGCAACGGCTGGCTGATGATTGCATGTTTTTTATTTGCTGCTTTCAAAAAATATTTTGGTGTCAGAACATTGTAAATATCAAAGAAGGTAAATAATTATTGCGTCCCTTGCTATAGTAGTGATACATTAGCATGCATGTACTGTGTCCCAAACAGTTTGTTTCAGGGTTTAGTTTTATGGCTAACAAATTGTACTGATTTAAAGGGACCCTCCCACCTTAACATTAGTTTTGAGTTGAGATAGCCAAGTTTGCGGCCAGGCTCAGAAACCACCATTTATCCTGGTCGCAACCCCCGCAGCTTTATGGTGTTCAAGAAATTCCTTCCCTTTACTTGCAGGGTGGGACCAGCGTGGTCCCTATCTCTTAACCATTACGGGAATCTGATGACGTCATCAGGCTTTCGAACGTCCGTTAAATGTTTGACTAAAACGTTTTGTAGCACGCGGTGGTATATGCTGCTTTGCGCGCAACAAATGCCGCACTTTCAAATAAAGTCGCTAGGAACAGCGGAGATCCCAAAAAGTAAACAAAAGTAAAAGTCTAATATCTTGAAAACCGGTGAATATTTTTCGATGAAATTTGGTAGATATTCGTTTTTGCTCTTTCTGAACCGAGCGACATCACTTTCATGCCAATTCATTAACTTTTTTGAAGGTGGGAGGGTCCCTTTAATGTTAATTCGGTACCTTGGGGTAAGATGCCCCCTGCCCTGATGGGAAAAGACGCCCCCCTAAATCCGTAGGCTGTCCTTCAAACAGCCCGTCAAATCATTTATTACATACTTGTGATGTAGACAAAAGCCGATCTGGGACTATTGAGAGTCCAGTACGGTCGGGTGCTCCCCATGCCTGTCTCTCGGCCCACATAGCGACTTTTTGGGCGGCAGCTGACTCTGAGAGCCCTCACGACGGCCTCTGTGGGCCCCATTATTGGCTCCAGGGCCCCTCACGACATCCTTTGAGGGCTCCCACGTTGGCCCCACGGGCCGCGCTGGCATCGGAGGTCCCCACGATGGGCTCGAGGGCCCTCAAGCATCATGAAGACCTATAACAGCCCCACAGTGGTCTCCGAACGCCACCACGGAGGCTTGTTTGGCCGCGCTGGACTATGATGGCCCTAACGATGACCTCTGAAGCCCCTTACGACTACCTTTGAGGGCCCTTATGATGACGTTTGGTGTCTACTGCAGGCTCGAAGGGACTACTGCTTCGTCCAGGCGATTCACGTGCCCATTTATGTCACTTATAGTGCAGGGGGCATCTTTCCCAGCGTCAGGGGGCGTCTTTCCCACCCTGTGGGGTAAGATGCCCCCTTTCACTTCTTCAGGAAAATGCTTAATAGCAAAAAAAGTTATAATATTTCAGGCAAGAAAGTGTGATATTTTTGGAGAAAAATGATGTCGGCTTCCGTTGAAACTCCAAGTTTTTGCTTTCCCATCGTCATTTTCGAATAATATGTGACATAGCAAAACCCTGGGCATCTTTCCCCACTCTCCCCTACCAATTTAAGTTTTCCCCAAATTCTGGACCAAAGGGAAAATGCATCTATTAATGCAATAGCAGTATGAGTGTTTTTTATTTAACTTGTATATAATTGATGATATGTAACATGTGATCATCACATGATCACATCTCACATGTGCTGGGTCATCGATGACCCGCTCCCGCCCTAATAGGAGCGTTAGCAACTGCAAACTTACATCAGCCCAAAGCTTGTCAAGTGATCCCCATGATCCCAAATGAACCAATGCGCTCCGAACCTAATCGAAATCGATTGCATTCCATAGCGGTGCCAAAATTAACTTCACTGGGTAACCCAATTGCTCTCGCCAGTGCAATAGACAAACTCCGCAACATTACATTGCACTGTTTCACTTCGTTGAATTGAACGGCAGTGCGTGTTATTGCATTGGTCTGCACACATTGCAAAGCGCTCCGTTAATCTAACCTGCTCACTCTCGCTTCATTTCACTTCACTATTTTCGTCTTTTACATCCTTTCCGGACACACCTCACTGATTTTAGTGGATTCTAGGGCTAGGCTCCTTCTGTTCAAACCAATTCCTCGACTCCTCACATCTTCAGGCATTGGCGCAATCCAGGCTATTCTCTACAAGATCAGTGCCGTTATATTTTAACACAACTTTTAGAGCAACACAATAGTACGGCACATAGCTTACGCTACTTTTATTCGAAGGCTGAGACATGAGAGCAAGACATTGATGTTGGAAGCCCTAAGTGATTAGTTAACACAAACATGTGCAAGAGTACAGCGCATCGAAGGTCCAGCACGAGAAAACGTCTTGACTTGCCACGCCTCTCCCAGTGCGTTCGACATTCGTGTCCCATCCACATCTCCCCTATATTCTCCGTCCCCTGAGTCAGCCCCCTTGAGCTAACAGAAGTCACCTCGACTTACCTGACCTCTCGACGATCCCCGGCGAGACCCTGTCGACTCCGACGGCCACAGTTCGTCGACAGCGACGATGGCTGGTGTGCCGGCTCCGACGTCGGCACGCCGGCGGGGCCCACAGAGGGATATTGATTCTCCTCCCAGCCTGCCCCCAGACCTCCGACGACTGGGGAGGGGTGGTGGGGGGGGGGGGGGTTGCCAGTCGGCTGAGGCTCCCTACAGGTGCTGGAGGGGGAGGTGGGGGGGGGGGGCACGTGGGTGAGACGGAGACCCGCCCGCCTCAGACAAGGATCGTTGGAATCAAGCGGAGCGCGTGGCCGAAACAAGGAGACGGGGAAGGAGACACACGCCAGGAAAGATATTAAAACGAAATGCAAAGAGAACAAAGGAAATGCCGAGAACGTGTGGAGGAGATGGCAATGTTTGCTCAATATCACAAAACTACTTTAACATCAATAAGCAGTCTTAATGATGAAATATTCCTAAAATCACGTGGGCATATCACGTATTGTCATAAAAGAAACATTTTTGTACGATGCCCAAATGACGGCAAAGTTCCACCACAGTGCATCTAGCAGACATCAACAGTAAAGCCATGTCAATTCTTCTTTTTTTGCGGATCATCGGACCCAAATCACGCACAGATGGCAATCGACATCCCTCTCTCCCACTCTCCCTCTCCCTTTCCCTCTCTCTCTCTCTCTCTCTCTCTCTCTCTCTCTCTCTCTCTTTCTCTTTCTCTCTCTCTCTCTCTCTCTCTCTCTCTCTCTCTCCCTCTCCCTCCCCCTCTCTCTCCCTCTCTCTCTCTCTCTCTCTCTCTCTCTCTCTCTCTCTCTCTCTCTCTCTCGTGTCGTTACCTGAAGCTCGCCTTTTTCGCTCAGACAACAGCACTAGCAGTAACCGGGGGAGGAAAGTAACCTTGACATTTTGCCAGGTAATTCGGAGGTCACGGGCCACGGCAGAATAGCCGTTGGTACGGGACCACTCGGGGTTTGACCGCATGTGGTCCTCTGTGTGTAGCTGCCCTGACATTTAGTAGACGGGACTCCCCCGTAACCCTCCCCGCGTGCTAGCTTTTACTGCACATAGTGGTGCGTAGGCGGCCGATAAGGGTAACTGTTAGTGAGAGTGTACCGATAGGTTAAAGTTATTTTAGGCAAGGTCAATGGCAGTGACATTCGATGCAGGTTTGTGAGGGAATGGATATGTGCCTCTCTTGATTGAGTTTTGAAGATGTTTCTTACGCTTATGTAACCGGGGATTAGGAATTCGTGCGAAGTTTTGATGTTCGGCGAGTGTTTGTTTTCATAAAACTTGTTGCAATGTATGTAATACTAGTGACTTTGATAATTTGGCTTGGTGTAATGAATAGAATGAAGTGACTCTGCTATAATAACACGGAACAAAAATGATAGACGAACGCGTTTCGGCTAAATCACCGTCATCAGCGTCTAAAAAGGAGAGCAAGAGGCACACATCGAGCAAATATCACAGTTCAATCCCTTATTCAATATACCCTGGTTCAATCGTTTTGATTTTTACATACACTTTTAACCCGCGCCCAGATGGGGTCTGCCGAGCAACGCGGTCTGATGGGGGGGGGGGCCATTTTGGCCCCCCCCCCCCTCAGATCTCGAGAACCACGCAACATAGCGACAAGCGGTAAACGGTGTTGGATAGCCCCAACGGGGAACTACCTTGTGACCCAATTTCATTGACCTCGGTCAAACCGATGACGTCACAGGTCAGGTCAAAGGTCGAATTTTCACCGTTAACAGGCATTTCAAGAAATGCGTTGTAAAATCGAGTAAAATGCATTTCATTGAAAATCATCGATGGGGAAATGTTCTTCAAACACATAGTTTGCTATTTGAGGTCACTGATACCAGGTCAGGTCACAGAGGTCAGGTCACTGGGGGTCACAATATGAAAGTGTCGTGTGATACATGTTTTATGGTCCATTTTACATGACAAATGCGATTATGTGGGTCAGACAGACTTTAGGGCCAGCTTAGGTCACGTTTTGGTCAAGGTCAGGTCAAGGTCAGGTCAAGGTCAGGTCAAATTAGGTCAAATTTCAAAGTTGATATTTTTGCATAAAATGGGTATCGATTCGATGCAGCTCGTCACGGGGAGTTCAATGGTGGTCTCCGTTTTGCGCTACGAGGTCTAGAATTGCTAAAAATTGAGTTCAAAAATTTGACGTCATCAATTTTTAACAGTTTTTTCACTATAACTTGGCCAAAAAAAGAGGCATCGATCTAAAATTTGGTATGTATATCGAAGAGCGCACGGACTATCACATATATTCCGGTTTTTTCGAAATTCGAAAATTTTTTGGAAATTTTTTGAGTTTTTCTAAAAAAATCAATTTTTTTGATTTTTTGGGGTCAAAATCCCAAAATTTCGAAAATCCGAGATAGCAGTTTTGTAGCGCCGTCTTTTCTCTACACAACCACATAAAGAACTTTAAAATTGCTTGTTAACTGTAGAATTTGTGAGCGTTTAAAGATGTCATGTTTTTTGCTCATTTTTACTCGAACATGACCTCAGTTTGACCTCAATAACTCCTGACCTGAGGTGACCTGTGACTTGAAATTTTGTGTGAAGGTGTCAAATTGATGCCCGGTAAGGTACCCAAAATTTGGCGGCGCTGCGCGCCGCCGTTTTCCTCGCTATTTAAGAAAAACCACAGGGGGGGGGGGGGGCCAAAATGGCCCCCCCCCCATCAGGGCGCGGGTTAAACAAGCATGTGACAATGTGGTTACATTTCCTTTGATAAAGAGAAAATATCCTAAAAGAATCCTAAGAGAATAGCCACATTGTACAGTTTACACAGGTGTTGCACAATTCATATGTGGATGTTTAAAATGCCAAACAACGCCGCTGCTTTTGCCCAGTTCATGAAACCAACCCTGACATTAATGGTATCACTCGTAGCTATAAACGCCGCTTCAGTAGCTTTTCTGTTGTCGCGATTACTGCATGACGTGAGTACCCTTGCCCCGTCCCAGTATGGGAGATGGTTTGAGTTCTGAGCATGTAGAACAAACGCACTGTGTTGCATGTTATTTCGTAGGTCACGTCTGTGTTCTTTTAATCTCGTTCCAATGCCCACATCGGGGAGACGGGAAGGGGCATTGGAACGAGATTAAAAGAACACAGACGTGACCTACGAAATAACATGCAACACAGTGCGTTTGTTCTACATGCTCAGAACTCAAACCATCTCCCATACTGGGACGGGGCAAGGGTACTCACGTCATGTAGTAATCGCGACAACAGAAAAGCTACTGAAGCGGCGTTTATAGCTACGAGTGATACCATTAATGTCAGGGTTGGTTTCATGAAGTGGGCAAAAGCAGCGGCGTTGTTTGGCATTTTAAACATCCACATATGAATTGTGCAACACCTGTGTAAACTGTACAATGTGGCTATTCTCTTAGGATTCTTTTAGGATATTTTCTCTTTATCAAAGGAAATGTAACCACATTGTCACATGCTTGTTTAAAAGTGTATGTAAAAATCAAAACGATTGAACTGTGATATTTGCTCGATGTGTGCCTCTTGCTCTCCTTTTCAGACGCTGATGACGGTGATTTAGCCGAAACGCGTTCGTCTATCATTTTTGTTCCGTGTTATTATACTTGTCTCAACTGAAATACAAATGACTCTGTTATCTTTACTCAAGTTTCGATCTCAGTCTATTTGTTGGTAGGCAGTTAGGTACGCGTACAGTTTCGTACCTGACCTGACCTTCCCAGCCATTGCCTGCAAGGTTCAATAATCCTCGTGGTTATCGCTGACCATTTTTGCTTTGTTTTGCTGGGTTAGGCCCTTTCGGTCTGACGAGACCAATTCAGAGCCGGGAGGATGATAGCAATTAGGGGGAGACATTGGTCAGAGCGAGCCCCCTGGTGAGTCGCCGGGGCTGAGGCCGTTCAGAGGACAGGCCACCCAGCCCCCAAGCACGGCACCGAACCCGGCTATGGGCTTGCTTTGACGGGCAATCCCGCATGGGGATAAAGCTGCCCGTCCAGCCTGGAGCAGGGGTTTGAGGCGTGAAGGAAAAGGATTTAAATGTCCTGAGGATGAAAACGGCGGGACGGCGTGCTCACCGTGACCAAAGAACTCTACATACGTACAGTCCACAGCAGAAGTAATGTGGGGTTTCAGTCATGGGTATGTTCTGCTTATGAAGCTTAGGAACGATTAGCCAGGCTGCAACGAGGCTTTAAATGTAGCTTACGTGGATCATCACCCTTGCAGCTGCAACTTTGTCTATTGGCCCCTTCTTTTCGATCACTCCGCATTAAAAAATCGTCAGTGAAAGCCATCAGTTGAGATTGGTAAAACCCTACATTACTTTAGCGGTGGGCTGTACTTACCATTGACTGTTTGACGCGCGAGAGAGGTGACTCTATAACTACTCTCGTACCAACTCTACTCGTGAGTGCTCTGCTGTGAGTGCCGAGAATACTCTCGACGACTCTGTGACCATATAGCTCTGCATCAGTATATAGAGGTCTATGCCATGACACATCATAAAAAATGGAAGAAAAGGGCGAATGTTTTTTTCAGTAAGCCTTTATGAGGTGCACTGGCTAACGCCGAAGGCCACTCAGCCAGCCACGCAGGGCCCTCTACAAAAGACGTGCACCGAGGTAGTGCTGCCACCTACGTACACTCGGGGGCAGATTGATGTTCCACCACTCCCTACCCATCGGGCTCCCATGGCTCAGCACTGGCTGCTGTCAGTGTTGCCTGCCCTCAGCACTGCTCAGCACTGCCTGCCACTGCCAGTGCTGCCAGTGCTGCCACTGGCAGCAGCCAGTGCTGAGCCATGGGAGCCCGATTGGGGGAGTGGTGGAACATCAATCTGCCCCCGAGTGTACCGTCTCAGGTCTGAAGTGCAAGGTGTCGTCTGACGAGTCTAGCAGACGGCAGGGTCAGCACTGACCTGACATAAAGTGAGCCGACCTTAACCTCACCTAAATTAACCTTAGCAAGTCTCATATACCTTACCTGACCTGACTTGACCTGCGTCATGCCGCTGCCTTGGGTTGGCGATGACCAAATGGCTAGCTGACCTGAGTTGAGCTGAGCTTGTCTTTACCAAAACTGCGTTGTTTTTTTATAATCCCCGTAAGCGATCGTTGCAACTGCAAGTAACCTTTTGCCACCGAATACTTTAATTTTCGAGCCTTACTCCTACCTACCGTAGTCCGGATGCCTATTGCGCCAGGGCAAGCGTAAAATGGAAGTGGAGTCTGGAGTCCCCATCGACCGGCCTTTCACTTTATTCTGTATTCCTGCAAATTCCTATCTGACAATTGATAAATTCAGGTAGCCCCACTTGACTTACCCCAACCAGCCCCCTCCCCACCATCCACCCCATCCCCATATCCACACACTATGTCTGCCCCCCCCCCCCCCGTCAACTGTGGGGTCTGGGCGGACATCCCGGATCGAAAGCATTACTCATAACCAAGTCGGATGGGCAGCGAGGCTGTCTCCCGGCCATGACTTTCCAATCCTTCTATGACGTCATTCACTGTCCATCAATGACGCATAAGTGACGTCAGTGGCTCGCACAGCGGCGGAGCTGGTCACGACTCGAGGAAGGTTCGCGGTTGGTTTCGTGTAAATGTTTATACTAGTGATGTGCGCCGATCTGAGCTGCAGCGCTGAGGGAAGGCCGTTCGTGGTGGAGCTCTGATCGTATTGGAGATTCTGACTATACATATTGATCGTAAGTTGGAGATTCTGACTGTATAGAATTTACACCGGAAATCGGTTCAAAAAGCTGCATATACACGGGCACGGCAAGCAGCCTACATCTTTCTCAATGATCAAGCGGCTTTTGGAAAGTCAATCACCGTTTCGTTTGGCTGGAAGGCATGATTTACACACTGATTTACACATACATTTTCTGAACACACCTATCTTAAAAGTAAGTAGGTGCATGATGTACGCAGTGCAAACTTGACCACTTATATTTCAGAAACCTAAGCCATCTAAGTCCACGCTGCTTCATGTTTTATTCTGATTTCAGAAAGTCACAAACCAATCGAGTTCCAACCCTCATATATTTAATAGTGGGCCCCAGGCTGCCACAATTTGCATCTCTGTGACGCCAGTACCGCCACAGGCCGAGGCGGACGTGCAAACACCGCCAAAACCGGCTCTGTGCATAAACAGTGGGGCTACGCCACCGGCCGTCGCCAGTCGCCTACACCCTCCCCGTCGAGAGGGAGCGTCGCGCAGCGCGGAGCACGTTCTGTGACGTCATACCGAGAATTTACGCTACTGAGACAGGCAGAAGAACGGTAGAAGAGTGAGGAGGCTGGAGGACTTGAGTTAGGAGGGTGACGGTGTGCGAGAAGGGACTAGAGAGACGTATTCGTGAGCGCAGTGTTCGCAGCGTGAAAGGTGCCTTACGGTGAGGTTTCTCTGACTGGGCTCTGCAAGGTCGTCCGTCGCTTCATCTCTGTGGACGCAGCTCGTGGTAGAGAAAAGTGCGCTTCACTTATCGCGTGCCACGTTGTCCTCAGCCACGATGCGCCTCCTGCTGAGCACCTTCGTGGTGCTCTCTGTCGTCTTTACTGCCCGATCACAGTGTCTTTCTGAAGACGACAGCATCTCCAACATCACCGTCGCGCGTGATGCCTACGTTCGTGGCGCGCACGACTTCAGCTTGCGCCTGTTCCAGTCACTCTACTTCGGCGCGGAGACAGAGCAACGCAACCTCTTCTTCTCACCTCACTCGCTGTGGAGCGCGTTGACTCTCGCCTACATCGGTGCGGAAGGCGTCACGAAAGAAGCGATGGCCGAGGCAATGGGTGTGACCAATATCACGAAGGCTGAAGTCGTGGCAGCGTTCCGTGATATCACGGACAAAGATCGCCCGGCCGAAGGATGGCAGCCGGGTGATCCAGAAGAACGACCCAACACGCTTCGGGTCGCTAACAGGCTCTACTTTGATCGCACCGAGAACATCAGAGAATGCTTGAAAGAGCTGCTTCCTGGAGAGCTTGAGCTGCTTGACTTCTTGCATGCTAGCGAAGAGGCGAGACTGTCCATCAACTCCTGGGTGGAGACGCTGACTGCGGACAGGATTCAGGATCTCATCCCTTCAGGAGCCGTGGATGCTCGCACGAGGATCGTGTTGGCCAACGCAGCCTACTTCAAGGGCACGTGGCTGTCGAAATTCAAGCCGCAAGACACAGGACTGGAGCTGTTTTACTCGTCAGATAAGGACTTCACCTTTGTCAACATGATGAGTCAGAAGGGGAAGTTCAACTTCATGGTGTCGGAAGAGTTGCAGGCGCACATCCTGGAGCTGCCCTACCTGGGCAAGAACGTCACCATGTATGTACTGCTGCCTCCCTTCGTGGATGGAGCTCTGGACCACACCGTGCAGAAGCTGACACCTGAGAACTTTCAGAGCGCCATTCGCCGCATGTATCCGGTTGAGATACGTCTCAAGGTTCCCAAGTTCCGTGTAGAGGAGAACTACGAAATGAGCGAGAAACTGAGCGAGCTTGGCTTCGAGAACCTCTTCAACGCCTCGTACTCAGACCTCAGCGGCTTCTCAAACTCTGCAGGTCTGGCGCTGGACGCTGCCCTCCACAAGTCCTTCTTGGAGATCAACGAAGAGGGTGCGGAAGCTGCAGCTGCAACGGCACTGATCATCAACCGCTCTGGAAGACCCAAGCGTCCGAGGCAGTTCATCTGTAACCATCCGTTCATGTACGTCATCTATGACAAGCAGACCCAGAGCATGCTGTTCATGGGCACGTTCGAGCACCCGAATGCCGCCTCCCTCTTCCTTGGAAAGAAGGTGTGAACGTTGAAGCAGCAAGAGCGAATGAGGGGTCAACGGGTGAAGAAATGAATAACGGTCATGCGTGAATCACTGCGTGTTTTGTGTAGAAATATGCACCAATCTTAGGTGTTGTTTTTATCCGCTGGGACTGAGAGCGTGAGATGATGTTTTTCGTACTCCAGCGTAGATGGGTAGCCATTCGGCTTCCACGGTTGACAGTGATGACATCCGTCATCTTTTGCAAACTCGTTAAAGATTTGGGCTGTACGGGGATTCGAACCCCGGGGATTTGAACACGGGGATTCGAACAAATATGCACCAACCAGTTCAACGGGCTGCTAGATAAACACTGCAGCGTTTCGTTGTCTTCAAAGAAGGGTGTCATTAAAAATTGGGTCATTACCAATAGTGATCTGACATAATGATAACAATGTGTGTTTACGACGAGGTCACCTGAGGCAAAAATGATATGATGTCTTCTGGCATGTCATATCGTTGCTGTCTGCCCCTACATATGTAGGTATCAAAACAATCTCCCTTGCGATATTGCTGAACCACTAGCGACAGTGCAGACCCGAGTGTAGATTGGACTTTTTGACGGCGATGACATTCTTTACACAAATGAATACTCTTTTCATACCGCATTTGATGACTTTGCTACTGGCCACGGTAATGCAAGTGCTGCTTGTCTTGTAAATGTATGATGCGTGTGCCAGAGGAAAAATGTCCGTTTAGAGTGACGATGGCGGGTCAATACAAAACATTAGAATATATGCATACATTCATGCATCATATTTTTTCCTCAGATGGTGTAATTGCTCAATCCATTTTACTAAACGTAAGCCACTATGCATTATGCAAGCACTCATAGATAAATAAAAATGATGGTAGGTGAGAGATTCGAGCCTCCTTCATCAACATGAACTAATTTAAACGAACGGAAACCCAAGGAAGCTGAAAAGACGCAACAAAAATACACACCGTCATACTCACCTCGCCGACATAACACGAAGACGTTAATTTTTTTTTTTTGCTCCCAGTTTTTCCAGTGAAGTGTGCTGACGGCTGTAGGTATGACATTTTAGGAATGCCTGAGGTTGAAAGTCAGCAAAATCAATGGCCACTATGACGCAATCTGTGTCGGGTTTGTGAGTCGTTACATGTCCGGATGTTGCGACATTATTCGCTCCTTACATCTCCTACGCAGTGTTGTCCAGTGTCCGTCTTCCGCAATAACTCCCCGTATCGGATTGCAAAGTTTCTGGCGTCTGTATCACGCCGGTCGATAACTGATTATCATTTCGTACATTCCGGTTTTCACGACCGTGCTTATTAATAAGTATCCGCGAGAGTAGGTATATTCAAACTATTATTACCCACATTGAAACGGAAATATATGTAGACGTGATTATTTTGATGTCTTACGCCATTTCGCCCCTAATAAAAGCAAAAGCCTTCTGAGAAAGAAACATGTGCACCGTTACGAGACATGTTCGCCCAATTTTTAGGACTCAACCCAATCGGTGACCTTTGAGGTCAGGTCAATGACCCCAAAGCTGGGGTTATGCTTTTGGTGAATAACCTCGCCAGAAACAGCAGTATATCAACCATGGGCGTCGTTTTTATAGGCTTGGTAGGGCCCCAACATTGCCGATAATATCGGAATATTAACATTAGCCCATGGCATCCATTGCTAAGATTAGAATCACTTTGGTATCGTACAATCAAGAATTAGAGCTCTACCAATAACTTAAGAAAAAAATATCGGCGACCTTGCGCTAGGCTAGCCCAACAGTCGAATGATAACATAATTTTATTTCGGAAAGGCCGTGAGGTAAGGTTTGATCTGACCTGAGCTGAGGTCGATCAAACAACTCAGCTCAGGAAGCAAGTGTCAAGCAATGTCATGCTGCATCAGATCAATGAAAACGTTTCCTGGCGTTGATAAGAATAATATTAAGTTAAAAGAGGCGCGTTTCCCGTTCAGAGGTTCACCGACTCATGATGTTATAGGCCAGTGACATGACCAGTGACCTGGAAATGTAGTTGGTGTATACAAATTTGCCATTTGGTTTATATCAGAGGTTAGACTCAGGAAGACCATCTTTCAATTATTTGTTGTTGAGACCAGTGGCGGATCCAGGGGGGGGGGGGCAAAATGGGCATTCCCCCCCAAACGGCATAATTTCAACATTACGCCTATGGACGATGCATGGAAAGAACTCGATAAATTGTTATGGTTTGCCCCCCCCCCCTAACTCTGAGCTGGATCCGCCTCTGGTTGAGACGTTTGAACTTTGAACAATTGCAATAAAAGTCATCGGCGCTGGCCTGGCAAGTGGCACCAGCCACCAACCCTCCACAAATGGCAGGGCAGTGTTAATTAACTCTTTCAATGGCAACATAGTGCGAGGCTGGGTCTGGGCGTGCTTTTTCATTTGGGGAGGGGTTAGGCCCATACTCCTCCGAGGGAGCCTCCATATCTATGGCCTATTAAGTATAGCTCCGGCTAAGAAGTTGTTTTTTAAGTTTTTTTTTCTTATTGCGCCTACTCCTTAGGTACAGTATAGTATTCATTTTATTACATGGCCCGCTCCAACTCGCTACCTTATACAGATCGCCCAATTTGTCATTACTCAGAAGAAAAATGGAATGGATTGAAACACACGCGGATTGCTATTGCCGTCGTCATGGTGTCATTATCAAAACTTATGAAACCCTGGATAATAAAATTAAATGTGAAAAGTGCGGCCAACAGTCAAAATTACCTATCACACATCCAGCTGACATACGAGCTATGTAATAATGTCTGATTCTTCACTAGCTTAAATCTACTGTCTGAGCAAGGATGGCGCTGAGCTGCAACATTGGAGGAACCATGTTACGTCTCCTCTCCGATCCGCCCTCGGTGAAATTTGCATCACTACGTCTGCACGTCTACATACACTTGACGCTACAGCTGCGACATCTGGCGCCTAAGCAGCTACCGTCATGCAGACACCTAGCGGCCATTTTCTGAACCATCTTCTACCACCTGGCCGCTAGGAGCGCTAGTATCGCCAGGTGCGCGTGCTTGCCGGCGAACAAAGGTGAATCGCCTGGGGCGCCGCGTGCCGCGACCGGCCGCGTCAGTCGCGAACCGGGCGCCGTGTGAGGGCGACGCCGCGCGTGCCGAGCGCGGCCCGCCGGTGAGACTGTGAGTTGAGTGTGAGAGTGAGTGCCGACACGTGAGTGTGAGTTCTGCCATGGCGGCGGCACGGGTCGCCGGTGTGAGAATTCAGCGGCGATGGTTCGGTGACCTTGTGAGGAACCGGCGGCGTGCGGAGATGGGGCTGAGATGGCAGGCGCCCGCGACTCTGCTGGTGCTACTGCTGGCGTCGGCCGTGGATTCAGCAGGTGAGTTCCATCCGAGTTAAAAAATGAATTCCAGCCAGGGGTGGAGATCTGTCAAAACGTCAGGGGGGGGGGGGGGGGGTCCAGGCCGGGCAGATGGAGGCGGGCTGGATGCAGCACCGTTGACTTGCAAAGCAGTAATTCGTTTTCAGGGAGGGCCGCCCCCCGAGATCTCCACCTCTGATTCCATCCCTGCCCTCCCCAACCAGCAAAACATTCCTTCTGTTCTGGTTCTGGTTTAAAGGTAGTGTGCCACCTTTGAAAGATTTCCCATTTTATTTTTCATAGGATAAGAAGCTTCTGTTTTTACCTAATATCGCAAAAAAAATCAAAAATGGGCCTGGAATAGTGCCTTTTTCGCCTAAAAGTTTATCGGTTTTTAGATATATATAACAACTGTAGTGGGCTCACCTGCAAACAGGCGTCGGGCAACAATCGCGAATGCGGCGCACTTTTGACAATAAGCAAAGGTCATTATAGTGTTACGACCATACGACGTACGGGAATGAGTTATCAGCTGTCTTATCGTAGACAACACAATGTCGAGCCTTAAACTGTAAGCCCGTATTGGTATTGTTTCTTTTATTTGGCTGTCGAACATTATTTATGGTTTGAAATATGATTTTATGTAAAATAATTGATATGAAAAAGCCGTCTTATAAGTTATGACCCAATTTCACCACACGCAAGTGGCAGAAATGACAATGATCAGCTGACGCATTTTTCTTGGCCGAAGTCAGAGCGCGCAGCCCGACGCACCACCACCGCACCACAAAGTATGAGCAGAAGCCGCGCCCAAAGCCAGGGCCCCGGTAACGTGAGGTAGCCGAGTCGGGGCAGCGTGCGCTGACCCAAGCCGGGGCCGCAGCTTTGGGCGCGGTCTACCGCATCCCCGCGGGCAGCCCCGGGCTATCACATGACACCGGGAGGACGCGCGGCTCCGGCTTGGGTCAGCGCACGCTGCCCTGACTCGGCTACCTCACGTTACCGGGGCCCTGGCTTTGGGCGTGGTCTACCGCACCACCTAACAGGCGTGTTCGAAACCGCAGGAGCTGATGATGAACGGGTTTATCGAAACTTGATTGGATGAGCATATCGGTAATAGCGATTTCAGTGTGTGCATTTATTGTGCATAGTGGTGTGAAATGTGGTTGGGGTACGACCGACAACCCGTCGGGGCGAATTTCGCACTGGGGTACTCAAAATTTGAAGAATTTAAGACGTTTCCATGAGTTTTGAAGGTATGGATAAGTTCTAAAAATCCGGTTCTCCTTATCTGGGCCATTAACTCCATACGGTCCAAGAAAGCTGGCACACTACCTTTAAGGTACCTGTAGCTACCTGATCAGCCTCGGCTCATGAGGATTAATGAGTGAGGACTGAGCCGCTGTCCTGACAATGGCGGATATAATGTTACTGTTGATGCTAGTGAGGTGCTAGTGTGGCTGGTGCCTGATGAGTGCCGGTTGGTGATGGTGATTTTTGATGCACCGGCGCCGATGTAGTGTTCACCTGTGCTGTGCGCTGGGGAGTGAAGTGGGGGGGGGGGGCTTAGCCTCTATGCCCCCTCCCCTCCCCCGCAGCTGTCAGTGCATCGGAGCTGGTTTGACGGTAGTTTGTATGTATATGGGTGGGACTGGACTAGAAATACACTGACAGTTGACACCCGACTTGACAGGGGGATGACACCGCTCCGTGAAAAGTGAGACAGTTCCCAGCATACCTACGTCGAACCGAGCTCCTAATTTACATCAGAAAACCTAACCCAAAGCTGTTTGGTAACCAACGTACAATTTTCATCAACCACTCTGATCACATGCGATCTTTTCCATCCCTGACATTTGGCACTGTCTCTGGCACAATTCTCTTCATACCAGCTCCCTCACTTGTTACCGTTATCGATGCAGGAAGCGTCTGAGTCACATACCCTGCAGGCCACAGGACGTTGCCGAGATGCGTTGGCCGCTTCTCGCATGCCTAATGCTCAACACTAGAACTGTCGGACGGTTTCATTTGACCGTTATAGGCATGGTGATCATTTTATTTACCGTTTAGGCAAGTCTGCTAGTTGCTATGGCGTTAATTAAGCCGGCGTCATAATTGTTTTTCTGGCTATGAAAAGTGAAATCAACAGCCTTCCTCAATCGTCCGTTGCTTTGGCGTCTTTCCTCATTATTTTGTCACCATGCGCTTCATGACCTAACACTTCCTCTCCTTACCCCTCCCTCCCCATGCCCGTGCGTTCCAAAGGCGTTCTATCGCTCTGTTCCAAAATAAAAACTAGTACTGGCCAACCGTCCCCGACCGGCCAACGTTTCAAATCTAGCCCCCCCCCCCCCCCCTCCGCCGGAAAGCTGTAACGGGTCGCGCTCAGTCTAAC